TGAAGAAATTCCTACAGGACCACTTCAATACGAAAGATTTGGGTAAGTTGAAATACTTCCTGGGAATAGAAGTTGCAAGGTCAAGGCATGGAATTAACTTATGTCAAAGAAAATATGTTCTTGACCTACTTGAAGAAACAAGACTGTTAGGTGCTAAACCAGCAAAATATCCTATGGAACCTAATGTCAAGTTGAGTGTTGATGCAGGTGAAGAGTTTGATGATCCTGGAAGATACAGGAGGTTGGTGAGAAAGTTGAATTATCTGACTATTACCTGACCAGATATATCATTTGTTGTGAGTATGGTGAGTCAATTTATGCAACATCCTCGGGTTCCTCACTGGGAAGCAGTTCTAAGGATTGTTAGGTACCTGAAGGGTGCTCTAGGTCATGGTTTGCTATACCAAAGTGGAGGGACTCTTGAAATAGTAGGGTATAYARATGYTGATTGGGYTGGTTCTATATCAGAYAGGAGATCAACTACAGGGTATTGTACCTTCCTTGGTGGCAATCTTGTAACTTGGAAAAGCAAGAAACAAACAGTGGTGGCAAGGAGTAATACAGAAGCCGAATACAGAGCTATAGCTCATACCACATGTGAACTAGTATGGTTGAAGAACTTGCTACAAGAGATGGGGTTCTCGGTTGACAAACCCATGAGACTATACTATGATAACCAAGTTGTTGTTCACATCTCTTCCAACCCAGTCTTCCATGAGAGAACCAAACATATTGAGGTCGATTGTCACTTTGTGAGAGAGAAAGTGAAAAGTGGAGTGATAACCACATCTCATGTGAGCTCAGGAAAAGTGGGCAGATCTCTTTACAAAGGGATAGTCTCGGGGCAGAGTAGATTATATTTGTGACAAGCTGGGACTATATGACATATACTCTCCATCACTTATGAGGGACAATTGGTCTTTCTTGTAACTATGTTATTGGAGATAAATACAAGTGGGTCGGCTAGAGGTGGACTGATTTTTCCTAATCTGGCCGAACCCTTCTTCTTCTCTTCTTCTTTCTCTTCTTCTTCTTCTTCTCTACTTTAACCTAGAATCGAATAGGGATTTCACACTATTAATATTTTCTAATTTATATAGTCACAAATATATAATATTTTATATTGTATAATATATAATATATAGTAATATATACATAACATGCATTGTGGGCTGGGCTGAAAATGATAACCCCCTACTATCACTCCACCTCTAACATAGAATCTAATTAGATATTACCTCCAGAAAAGGCGCATTTTCAGGATCATCCAACCTCCTCAGAGGGCCATCATTTACAGTGAAGCCATTACTCCAAAAAGTAATGTTGTGAGTGACTGCCTCAGGCTGTTGAGGAGCAGATGGCACAGTATCACCAGAGAGTAGTCTCCCAGTTCCAGTGAAGCTTCTTGAACTTGAAGATGGGCGGAGGTTTTCATTGGGTCCCTCCATGGCCCCCATCTGCCTAGCTTGATTAAATATTGCATCCACATCATTACCTTTAGAAGGATCTTGGACAAGCATTCCACTACAGAAAATTAACAATAATAGTAACATCAGTCAGCTATTAATGATTGTGCAAAAGAAAGCAGCATTAAAAGATCAAAGAATAATGTTAAAACCAAAAACTTATATCAACAAGGTGGATTGTATGATTAATAAGTCGAATTTAGTACCATATACAAGAAAGCACCTTCTTAAATTCAGGAGTTCCAGGGTAACCCTGGTTTGTCAAATGTTTGTATTCAAGTTGTTATTTATATTGGTTGGCACCTTCTTAAATTCAGAATTGGTCGTCACTCAGCAGCTTCCTTTGAGCCCATCAAATTGTTATTTATATTAGGGCAACAAAAATACATATGTTGACAAAATTACCCCCCATTAGTAAGAGGTGATGTAACTCAAAAAATAAGAAGGCACAGGCCCATTTACCCAATAATAACATAACAGAATAATAAAGCCCAACAAGAAATACACACCACCTAACACAAATGGGCTGAGGCCCATACTAGTAAGTCCCACAACATCAAACAAGGTAAATAAGGATATTTTTGATAAAAATACTCCCTTGCAGAAACAAAAGAAAACCATGCATGGGAAACATTTATACACACAAGAATACATGATTACACGTGCTTAAATATCCAACCACTGTGACAATTTCAATGCTAGTTTCCTCAGTTTATGATTCAACTTGTGCTTCTAAGGAAAATATAGTTTTAGTAAGAGAAAATGACACAGCCACAAATACAAGATAAAGTACTTTATTTATGGCCAGAGTTCAAAACATTGCTATTGCATTCGAATTGATATTTTTAATGGGGATATGAGATATGGTGGGACACACTGAAAAATTGAGATACACACTTGAGAAATTCATGTTCTGCTATCAAATGGGTTTTATCAATGCTTTAAAACTGGTGCACACATTAGGTTGGAGGATTTTGGAGTTTGAAAAAGACTGCCATGTTGTGAGAATAGATAAGGGTGACAACAGAAAGCCCTTGCAGCTTTAGACTTTTTATAAGAGAAGCTAAATTTCTTTTCAGATGAGCATCTTGTTCAATTGGGCTCCTAGACAAGACAACTATATCACTGATGCACTTGCTAAAAAAAGAAACAAAATCACTTAAGATCTTCTACATCCCTAAATATTTCCTAAGGTCTAACATAAAGTAAATATAATCCTAACTAAATTAAAATAGGAAATAACCTAGAAGATAACTCAATAACAAACATAGCAGCCAAGATTATTATCTGCTAACGCCCCAGCAAATATTTTTAAAACATGCGTTTCCAAAATAACAGAATCAATCTTAAGTGTATTGAAACTTAAAATATTGCACAAGAGCTGAAAAAAGAAACAACCTTACAATTATGTACACAATTTTTTATTTTTAGAACATTGCTTAGAACTGGCAAAAATGAAATGGTGGAGGGACACAAAAATCATAGTGGATGGATGGAAAACAGCAACCTAGGTTTATGGCAGCACAGATTGGAAATGAGGGAGATAACAGTTGATGGGAGAGTTGGATGCTACTACAAATTGCACACATAGATTGGCAAAGTGTTTTGCCAATACTTCCGCTAAGCAAGTGGTTCATAGGTAACAACTATTTTGAACTCAACTGCAATGCATATAGGAGAAACAGAAGGAAGCCTTTGGCTTGACCATGATTGTGGATGTTGTGACATTGTAAATGACCATATACATTCCTTCAGATACCTCAAAAATCTTTCAATTACCAATCAAAATTTATTTCAATTGCATGCTTTATCTGCTTTTTATAGTGGAAAATTTTAATTTAAACAACCCACTTATTATTTTCTCAACCATTTTCCTTGCACGACAAAACAAGGCGACGAGCCTTGCAAAAAAGTTTTTACCCAATAACTTGCCAAATGGTAGTGTTTCAAAGTTCAGGAGTCACTCAATGGTCCCTGCCATACAGATTAATGTGAAAGTTATTGAAAATGCCTTGAAATGTGCAATTTTTACTTTAATTTGATGGCGAAATATTTTAAGATAATTTAGAAAATTGATAGAAGTCAGATTATTAAAATTTGTACTAAAATTGTTAGTATTTTATATAGGTAATATATTAAGTGGAGCACTTTAGTGGAATATAGTGGTCCTAAGTAAGAGGTGGCAAGTTTTAGTTGTCCTACACACAACCAAGTTACTATTGCCCAACACCTAAGCATGTGTTTCCTTATTTAATATCAACAGTACACTGGCAACTCAACTAATGCTCAACTTAAATAGCCAAGTAAAGAAGAACATATTGATCTAAAAAAGTAAAGAAGAAGAGCAGTAGTAGCAGTAGCAATTGCTGCAACAACAATAATACCCCCCCCCCCTCTTTTCTCCCTCATTCTCAACCCATCCATAGTATATTTCATGAGTCATGAGTGTTTTAAAAGGCATGGGGGGTATATGCCTGGAGGTACACCTCCAAGTGAAGCACCCCCAAAATGCCTTGAGGCGTACGCCTCAGATGCCTTTCTCATGAGGCGTGCTAGAGCCATACGCCTCGTGCACATTTTATATAAAAAGACAAAAAAAAAGAAAAAAGGAAAGGAAAAGAAAGGGAAAGAAAAAGATAAGGGAATGGAAGAAAAGATAAGGGGAAGGAAAGTGGGGCTTCGCCCCCTAGAGAGCCCCCCCCCCCCTTCAACTAGTGCTATGCATCTTCATTCTTCTTGATATAAAAGATTTTTATTAAAAATAAAGAAAAATGAGATCACCCTTCCTCTTCTTCTTCCTCCTCCTCCTCCTTCCTCTTCTTCCTCATCTCCTTCCTCCTCATCCCCCTCCTCTTAAGGAGGCTTACACCTCTTACATTCTGAACTATGTCCCATGCCTCTAGGTAGTGGAACGCCTCACATCAGGCCTCCACGTTTTAGAACATTCTCAACATAAACGGGGCACTGAATGCTGATATGGTTTGTTTCATCTTATATCACTTTGTGTTGACGTGATACATGGTGCTACAGGTTGACACTAACTGAAAATAATGTTGCATTATTAAATCTAAAGTTGCACATTTGTCTTCGATTTCAGTGCATAGAAGGTAAATACTAGAACTTGGAATCAGTGTTTCATGGCTTTCCTAAATCTGACACTCCATGGATTCTTGAGGGCACTTCTACATAACATTTCTAGCTTATTTAACACAAATGAACAGCTAATTACAAGATGAGTCCATTTTAATATCAAATGTCACTTAATAACAAAGGCAACATGTTTTTGTAGGCAAGGTTCAAAGTAATTAGACACCCCAATATGTACAAATGTGAATATCGGGTGTTTCCCACACGTTCCAAGTTCTTTTTTTTTCAAAATTTCACAGGAGGTCAGTCTTAGGCTTAGGCTTGCCTTCCCTCTGAATATTTCAAAAACTCCAAACAACAAGTATTTAGTGTATTGGGGTGTAACCAGAACGATGTGATATGCCCAATACACTCCAATATGTTTCAAAATTTTAATCCTTTTTTGTAGGTATATAATATTAGAAATTAGAAACCAAAAAAATATAAATTATTTTAATAGTAAATGCTTTTCTATAGACATGTTTGCAAGTCCATGTTTTCTCATCTTGCCAAGTCAAACTCTTGGACACATGTCAGACTTCAACTCCTGCATCTATGCCTATGCAACTGATTGGAGTACAATAAGATACATGAATTTTAGAGGGTGTTCTGTAGTGTGGATGAGAAATTGGGTGGTGTGGACCGGTCCACACCACACCCACAGTTCACAACTGTTCTGAACTGTGGACAGTCTGTGTGGATTGGACTAGTCCACACCCATAGTGGCATTTTGTAGGCATGGTGTGGACCAGTCCACGCCACACTTTTTGATTCTACTTATCACATATACAATTTATGAAGTAATACATAATTGATCATAAATGTCTAACTTTTATAATTTATATGATAAATAAATTGAAAAAAGGCTTTGGCAATTGAATATTAATTTCAACAAAATTGGTAATAAAATAATTTTAAAAAAATTATTATTTTTATCTTCTGTTTACCCTTCAGCAAAGACACTTGCCTTGACTGCTGTTTGTGTTACTGTGTTAGTTTTTAAGTATTTTTAAGCATTTAATTTGCATATGTTAACAAATTTTTTATTTTTAGAAAGCATTCCATTTTCCCTATTGTTTCTCCTCCATCTCAGAATTTCTGATGAAACTTCTCATTTTGAAGAATTAAAATTTCTCCTGAAAAAGAAATTCCTCACCTTGTCTACCACAGCTCATGTTGGATCTCACCCAAGTGATGTAAGTGGCAGAAGTCCTATTCCTCCATTCAGCACAATCTAGCATATCTTCTGTTAAATAATGAAAACAAAACACAAGATCTATCAAATCTTTTTCTCGCTTCTAAAATCCAGGTTTTTCTTAGCCTTCCCTGACCTCATTCATAATGCCCATCACCTTTTTTTTCTCTTTTCAAGGAAAAACAACATAGGGCAATGCCATTCGTTGGGCTTGGCTACTTTTGTTGTTTGGGAGTAGTTGGAGTCTACCAGCAGAAGTTTGCATGATCTTTAATTGTAGAGATAGCTGACTAGTGTGTGTGTGGTCCCAGCCCCACACATTATTTTTACTGTTTACTTCTTTATATTTCAGTTATGATAGTTGGGCCGGTTGGGCCATGTTTGTTTTCTTTTTATTTTAAGTAAGAGTATTAGAGTAACTCTACTCCTAGTAAAGTTATAAATATAAATAAGATTAAGTGGGGTGGCTAATATGATTGAACCGCACCCTTTCTTTCTCTCCTTCTTCTCTTCTCTTCTCCCTTTTCTTCTGTTCGTGACCTTGCTTTCTCTTCTTTTTCTACTGAATTTGTATCAGAAAACAATCAGTTTCTGATTTATTTTTATCCAAGTTGGTATTAGAGCCAAACTAGGACAGATTAGGGTTCTCATGTGAACCTAATCCAGTCGGCAGCATGAGAGCTTTCTAAGTCTGGAAATTCTGCTCATCGCCTGATTCTTGGAGGATTACTGGAGTT